TCTGGCACTATTCATATCGGAAGTAAGTTATAAGATTAAAGGACATTTATTTCGAGTTTAAGGGCCTACAAAGGTAGCAGACCACTTCACGAGAAAAAACCTACGCGAAGTTGTAGATTAGCTTGAAAGATTATCTCCGTTCTTGGGAAATTGGGACCTTTAAGAAGACATCTGGTAGCGCACAGTTTGCGTCGGGGCTATACGTGCCTTATGACAACTGAGACTGCCAGCGTATAAGTCTTCAGCAAATGAAGCCAGCGACTTCGAAAATTCGGTTAGCGGCAAGGTTGTCTGTTAAAGGCTATTACTTCTTCATCTGTTAATACAGCAAAATAAAGCTTAGCCACTCAATAATCGACTTGTGTTGTCCAGGGTGTTTATCAAAGATATCCTCGGTCTTATGTCAACCGGCATGGACTGATCGAGGCCGCCCGTCCAGACCCTCGAAATCCATACAGCTTGCAGTCAGCCAAAAATGCCTGTTCTGCTTAGCGCTGCACCCAAGTACCCAGAATTGAGCGCAGGTTGATAGATCGTTTACCGTCAAACAGCAGACCACACGCGAGCCCGTTGAAATTTTTGTAGCTTATAAGCCCGCAGATTAAGTCCTAAATTGCCCAAGGTAATGTGTAAAGTATACCAGGCATTATCATACCCTGTTGCACTGTTCGCAAAAACTATGCAGATTTTCGTTTTTGAAGAACACGAATCCCGACTGGTGTTTAAAGCTAGTAGTGACCACAAGGCTGCAGGCGTCACAAAGCTAGAGCCAATCGGCAATGAGTGGAAAACTTCCATTATTAAACAAGATGCATCCGGCTTACATGGGAGCTGTTAAACATTGGTTGAAATTGTTAAGTAATTATGCCAAGCATCTTCCTCAGGTCTACGACAGCCAAGGTTACCATGGCAGGATCCAGGTAGAAATCAGTTTCAAGTGGTTCGACTTTTTCTAGATAAAGTACCAGAAAAATTAGTCATTTCGTCGTAAGTGTGCCGACAGCTGCGGCCTGACAGTGAGCGATAATTACAAGTAGAACCGTTCGGCTATATCCCGTCTTGGCAATACAGAATCAGCCTGGAAAAGAAATGCTTAAGAGAAAATTATAGGGAACAAGTTGACAACCTGGGTTTCGTATGAATGTCCATGTCTTCAGAGGAGTTACTTAAACCTCTAAGGCTATTAATCAACCTCTCGCCAATGAATACGTTAGCAAACGTAAAGGTCCATTTGAAATTTTTTTCTGAAAAATCTTAAGTCGTTGAAATGAACGGAACCTCAACTCTGAGACTTTTGGGGCCCCCAGCAGCATCTGGCAACCTCTCATTGGTTGTTATACTTACGTCGTTATCCTTAAATCAGTGACTAACGTTAATACCCTATTAATCTTTAAGCAAACAGGTATAATGAAAGGATAAAAAAAGATGCCAAAGGAAGAAAGGACCGACGCCGTATTCAGGCATTTTGAGAAGAGAAGTATACGAAAGGCATGAGGTTGAGTTGACGGATTCGCAAGATGCTTCTAAATCACCTCACAGGCGCGGAACACCTGAAAATAGCTGGGGCATGATGGAAATATTTCTTATGTGTTTCGAATGAATTCCGCCAGAATCCCCTCCAAAGCGTTTTTTTAATATCAAGCTGCAGATTGCTTAGCGACCAGTATGATTTTTAGGTTTGTGTGTATGGTCTAGATTCGAACCCGGGTATAGATCCACTTCATTACGTGCAGAGAGCTAGCAGTCTGATGGAATACCTAACGGCGATACCGAGTATAAAACTCGAAAGACAAAGATTTATGAAGAAATGGGGACTGACCGGTTGCACCGCTTCGGATAAAATAAAAGGGGCAATTACCAAACAGAAAAAAGCTGCTATCAGGCTGCACTCTAAAGTCGTGGCCCACAGTCACGCATGGTTACTCAAGCCATATAGATGAAGCTCACGCTGAACTGCAGTATAGGTTGCGATAGTAGTATTAAATTATATGACTTTTCAGCCGCTCACCAAATAACATCTGAGCGAAATTTCAACAGTTTAAGTCATCAACACGAAAGGGTTAATTAGAAAATAGGATCGCCAGCATAGCGGCGTGTCTGAGAAATCATTATTCTGAAAATGAAACGTCATCAACGCACAAGCAGTAGGAGCCCGTCCGACAGCTGGGAAACCATAGATATGCGAGAAGAATCCTAGCGGAAGAACTAGCGATTAAGAATAAATTAGGCAAACCACAAGGAAATAGAATGGCGGTAGCATGGAGCAGCCAGAAAAAACGGTCTACTAGATCGTACTAACCAACGACGACTGGGCGTTCCATTTAGGGGGGACCACGACGTATCTCCTGCGTTTTGTTCGAGAACCTGAAGTATGTTTGGCTCATCCATATTCTTCCTGAGAAATGGGCATCGTTCGAGCATGCCTGAAGGTTCAGTTAAGAACAAAGGATCTTCCAATTTTTGTAAACATGGGACAATCCGGGAGGCCGTAAGGCAAAGAGGCAAACTCCCAAACTAGTCACCGTATTACTATCAAAAATAAATGTTAACAGGGACAAATGCTTGTTCATCCGCTCAAGTCACAATCGAAGAACTCAGCGCCCGAGGGGTAGCCTTAGCGGGACACGCCGTGAAGAGCAACTTCACTTTAAATGTGGGAAAAATATTCGAATAGCTTTATCGAGACTGGGTATGCCGATTTCACTAAGTACAAAAGATAACGACCTTCTTACCTTACGAGTAAACAATACTGTGCAGCATACAAAAATAAGATTACAAAACCATGCGCCGCAGGTTCTCAATGGATGATTCTACGTACCTCATGTGCTTTACAGATGAGTACTTCAAATCTTGAAAATCTTATTTTTTGAAGGCCGAAACTGAGGCGACCTGTATAAAAGGTTACCTGGTGTGCGTATTGAATGTGTCATGGTGATTTTGAGTATAGCGCAAGTATGTTCGCTCACTGGGAAGTGTTCCCGATGAAATTATTCATAAGTAAAACCATTGGTCAACCAATCAGACTCTGGGTTTAATGTGAAAAGATGAAGCTAAAGAAATCAAAAACGTTTTGGTAGGTTATTGTAAATGGATCGATGTATCTCTTTGCTTTCGCTTTGCGTATTCTCTTCGCTTAAGTTTTCGCGGCATTAAATTTAAAAAATTACTGCAATTTTGAATTCTCCGGCGCAATCGGGTAAATCTATGCTTTAAGCATTTTATAGTTTGTCCAAATGGAGTAACAGTCACGCGCAAGGTTTTATGTGAAGAATGAAATCTGTAGGTATTGCAGGAAGCCTATAGAAACTAAACACTGAGTACAGCTCGAATAAATAAGTGGTTCACGGGTTTTAAAGATGGAGAGGGGTTCATCGCAGACGATCTTCATTTTAGACGGCGTGCGGCAGGGATCAAGGACTTAAATTATGAGAAGCGTAAAATAATTCATGCCTGCCATGCACCGAATAACGATAACAGAGTTAACATAAGATAAAAACTTCATTAGCTCATTGATCGATTGTTTAGGCGTCAAAAGGCTTACGGCAAAATTTTTGTCGGAACAGCTTAATGTCCAGCAGATAGATACCCGTGAAAAACTGTGTTAGGAAAACTTTCCGACACCTTTAGAAGAGTTGTTTGAACACTTAATTAAAAATACCCAAACATAAGTACACAGCTATTATGATGAGGTTAAGACGCAGTCTTCTAAGTATCAATTCAAAAGTAAGCTCTGACGGAAGAAAGTCACACGATTCAGATCAAAAGCCTTTTTTTTTTGTAATACTTTCAAAGCACTTTTGAAAGTACTTTTCACCGATTTTCTTTGACTGTCAAGGATTTATTTGTTATCAGTTCGTGCTGGCTCTATGGCCACCAATGAATACCATTTGGAAGTTATGAGCAAATTGCTCAAATTGATCCAGTGCAAGAGACTGGAACTGTGGTATAACAGGTCTGACCTCCTTTATCGTAACAACTTACACTAAGCTTCGAGAGACCGATACCATCGACCACGAGGTAAGGGGCAGCGGTGGGACGGAGCAAGCGAAGGCTGAATCCGAAAAAAGGAGAAGACTACCAGATATCAGATCGTAAGCTGAGATCTCGCTATGAACTGAAGAGTTGATACGAGGTTGCGCTAACGGACCCTCAAGCAGTGCCTAAAGCAAAGCTGCAAATGCATGCGATAAAATGCAAACTAGCAGATGTCTCCGTGTCGATGTGCAGCAGAGAAAGGGATGCGTAGCTCCGAAGGATACGTTTGAACCCAGTGTTGGATTAGGCCCCAAAGAGACGATAATTTGCGTTTGCTACAACTGCAAGGGCTTTGTATGCTAAAAAATGCTTGAGAAGAACAAGACAATTAACAGGAACCTATGTGTCTCCCAGGAGGATCAAGTGAACGAGGCGTTCTAATAAAAGGGGCCCGGCAAATGAGGCAAAATCATCATTTTCCACATCAAGGCCAAGCCGCACGCACCTAAAATTGTCAAAGTCACTCTGCGAGAACTTCAGTGAGAGGCTATTTTGCACTTACCATATTTCTGAAGCCTTGCCCCGGCGGATTATCATCTTTGCGATCACCGGCAAATAAAAATCGTAACGGTACATTAGATAGTGATCAGGGTTTCAAAACCTAATGAACACGTTTTTCAACATCATACTTGATCGTTTCTGGCAGAAGGGTATAAATATATTGGTTGAGAGATTAGAGAAGATCGAGGAGACTAAGAGCGAATGGATAGGAAAATAATTTGTTACTAAAATTCAAATGAAACGGGGTGTTTTCCATTAGTTATAAACAATCTTCATGTTTCAATTTACTATAGAGTAGAAAATCACTTGAAATAGAAACATACTAAAATGGTCTTTAAAATATTTGCACATGACAAGCGCATTGGCCGTTCATATCTTGCCAAATATGTTTATTTTTTTCATAATCAACTTGAAATTAAACTTACTATCTTTGAAGACACTAACTAACATGAATATTTTGGTTGTCAGACAAGAGCTGGTAAATACCGCGTTTGTCTAAAAATAACCCGGTAAGGAAGGTTTGCTACAGCACGCTTGTCGCACAACGTTCCGCATGGCTTTTGGAAATTTATTCGGGGAAAAACCGGTTTCGACATGCAAAGCGTGAAAAATTTACTGATTCGAAATCAACTGACGTGTAGAAAACACAGGCGACTTTTTGAAATATAAAGCAGATGAAACCGTCGCAGTTGAGTAGTCCCTTTTTCTACAGACAATCTTTTATTTATTTATTTAGTTTTATTTCATTATTCTTAAATAGTAAACATTAATTGGCAATTGCAGTGCAAATACTTTCTTCGTTAACGCAGTACGGTATGTACAACAATGTCGGACTCCTGCAAGACAAAACAGTCCTTATTCGCAGTGTGGGAGTCTCGCAACGTCTACAAGAGCTAATTCTATTATAAAGGGATTCAATACTCGATCTAACCGGTGATGGTACATCAACTGTTTAGCAGTAGTAGTAATAATAATAATATTGTTGTCATCGATCTAGGCGCGTGCCTCCTCACCAGTGTTCACTTACTTATGAGACTGTTGTATGTATATTTATATATAACAAAACGAGATGCGTGTAAACACAGGGATAACCATAATGGTAATACAACTGTGGGTATTTCGGGTGAGCGGGAAGGACCAATCGAAACTTCATCCAAATTTTTTAGTGCGTCATTGCAGATCTTTTTTGACATATCCTACTTGAATAGTTTAGACTAATTTGCACCACTCCTTCTCGCTCTTTTCTAACACTTCTGCTCGCTTTGGGGTTTTACAGCGTATTATATATACCCTCTCTGTGGTTGATTTGCTTAACTTCGTCTGAGTTGGCGTTTGAGCAAAGCCTACTGTCAGGTCCATTTAAGATCAGCCGTCCTCATCAAAGCATCCAGCAGCCTCCACAGAGTATTCCTCCATTCTTTACTAACTCTTTCCGCTCATCTTACTTTATAGCGATCCGGGATATATTACGTTCAACTCGGCTATTATCTTGCAGTCATTGTCATTTTTGTTTTTGTTTATTTCATTAACTTATTAAACCTTTACAGAGTACAGCGGGAAATTCGGATCGAGCGAGCATCTGAACTAGCCGTCACGGGCTGCGTTTATACCCGCCGTTAGTTTTTAGATACACCCTTCGGCGTGATCGTTTGCTTTATTTGGTGCGCATCATACTCTTTGCTAATTGGTGACTCGTGTTTCAAGTCCACACCATGTAGTATTGACACCCTGCCTGGCAGGGCCTGCTAATCTAAACACTCAAATTTAACTAACTTTTTTTCTAAATACTTGGTATCCCCAATAGTTGTAGGGTTGCGGAATTACTATGGCAAATATTTAGTTGAGGAAATTTTTAACTCAAAGGTTTCGAGTAAACTTTAGGAGAATTTCGACTGACGTTAAAAATGCAGATTTTGAGAATATTTTGCGATATTAATCCGGCCACCGTGGTCCTACATGGGACGTTTATTATTCCTAAAAATAATCAGCCATATCAATATCATTAGCTTAGCCTAAAGTTAATCGAGTAGCCTCGGACTGTGTGTAAAGCATTTAGAATCTAGAATTTAGCATCTAGAATTTTGCACCGCTTTACCATGACGCCTGACATCTACAATATTCACATCCTCCAGTAACATAAGTTGATCAAGTTGAGTCAACTGTAAGGTAAGCTATGGACAGCTATATTCCAAACACCTGCTGATATCTCGCTTTATTTCCTTTCTACAAATAGTTTTTTTTTTTTTAAATCCTTTTCTCCTACTTAAGCGACTTCGTCTGGTTTGTTAATAAATTACGAATTTGTTCATTCATAACATCGCTTGTGTTTTTCTATTGGGTTCAAGCTGGTGGCCTCAATATTTGTGCATATTCTCCCTGGTGCTCGCGTGATAGCAATCTGGCATGTCCCTTGACCTCGAAGCCTACTTGGCTCTCCTTGTCAGCATGTAGTATCCCTAGCTTTGAGACGACAAGATGCACGTTTTTGAATGTAACTCTATTGTAACAGTAGGTGTGACATTGCAATCTGTTAAAGCAAATGACAAGTCAAAGATGACCTCATTGATCCCACATGCAGGTTTCTGAGACGACATGATTTGCCCTGACTTGGGGTAATCTTTGGCGTTGGTCGCTCAAGGATTTCGCGGCGTAGTGCCGCTTACTTATGTCATCCGAGCTTCCGGATGGTTTCGATGTTATCCGAAATTAGTCAATACACAACTTGATAGTGTTTAGTGGTATTGGTACATGTACCGTCACGCTTAAACTCTGATCATGAACCTTCGTCATAGTGGTTTGTTCAGGAAATGTGTTCTAGCTTAAAATAGAAAGGCACCTCCTTGAATTTCATAATTCTATGAATACTTTTGCTCCTCATATTTCTCGCAACACATGTTTTTTTTTCTGAATAAGCTCACTACTCTTTCTTGCTCGCAAGATTTAAGCCGTGTATTTGTCAGTGTTTTACAATTGCTGTATCTATTCATTTGCTATATTGCTTGTCCCGGTTCATTCTTATTGTACACACTACAGACCAAGTGTTGTAGGACTACATATCTGTCGACTAATTTTTGGAGAGGGCGCTTGAGGTCGAGGGAGTCCTCTTGACTGATCTAATTTTTTTACAACTGGAGGTGAATTTCGTCGTTGGTCGCTAAAGCTGGCCCGTCCGAGCAGCACTGACCATGAAGCGCAGATCCTGGGTGTCTCTCAATCCTAGCGGTGGGCAACAAGGTCAGGTCGGCCCGTCTCTCCTCCGTTGGTCTGTGAAGGACCCTGTGGACTGGAAGCCATCGTCGAGTCTTCCAAAGGTGACCAGCGGCCGCTCATTTCGTTTGCTGGGGAGTCCCGCATTCGGTAAAACGCCTAATTAAGAAGCAACATATGAAAAAAGCGATGCTATATTATTAGCCCAGCGGTAAATCAACGCTACTGGAGGATTTGAAGGGTTCGCAACGATTGAAACTAGTAGGCTATATAGATAGGTGTTGTTGATTAGTCAGTGGTAATAAGAGCTGCGTAGGGAAGGGTAATACCTGAATGGGTGGTGGAGGTGGAGGCGGAATGGGCGGTGTGATCGAATCTCTGTTCAGAGCACTATCCCGGTAGGTGCCATGGCCATGCTGCGGGCAGAGTGGTACCGACTTGACCGACTGTCTGTCTCCTAGACTCTGCCTGTCGCCTTCGGCTCCGCCAGCACCGCCACCACCGCTACACACAGGCCCAGAACCAGCCATGATAAGCACTCCATTGGGGTGCTTACGGAATGCCTGAAGGTCTACGTCGGGCAGGTAGCGTCCATCTTCGACATCATCTACTAGTTGTCCACTCATTGGGGCTAGTTGACTTGCCAACTGCCCAGTTTGGTGTTGCTTGCGCAGACAAAGCTCTGCCGCTAATGCAGCTTCCAGTTCAGAGGAAGGAGCTGCAGGCGGGGCCAGTCCAATTTCCATTGACACCTATCACAAAAACAATTTCAAGTCATTCATTGCAGAACTTCTTAATCAGTGTAAGCCCTATGGATCTATACAATGTTTGTGTATAGTACATAAAATAAAGCTAAAAAAATGCGTAGTGCAAACTTTAGTCAATTTGTCATTTTATCTATCCAATGGTTGCTCAATCCAACTGTTTAAGTGGAGTTCGGTTTGGAGCCTTTAGATAGGAAACTAGCCATTATAAGCAGCTTTCTATCAGCTGATTATCTTCCTGAAAGCTATCCGTGGACATTAAAATAAACATGGAATCCCATTAAATAAATCGGTCCTTATACTATTATGAATGGGTTCGTAAGTGAGAATTGGTATTAACAAATAAACTACCGATTATTCGTCAGGTTTGAGTTACTTCAAAAAGATTATATTAGCTATAGTACCTCGATGAATCCAGTTGAAAATGCACAATATAAAGGTGCTCAAAAAAGAAAGGCTTTCATGATTATCACTTGATGTATTATAACGTGCAAAGCTGTATATTTGCCGTCGGGTCCTCTATCACAATGGCAGATACCACAGTGGAAAACATTATTGTGATAAATGAACGCGGCATAATAGATCCAGAATTTATTCAAGGATTGGCACTGATTTGTCACCCCCCATTGATATTAAAATTATCCCCAACGAACCCACGATTGTTGTTAGTGTGTTAAAATATAAATATACTGCTTCTAGATGGGAAATCTTCAGATTACCGCTCATATTTTTGCCCCAAAAGCTTATTACCTGTAATTAATAAAGCCAGTAGGTGTGCCTCATACCGTTAAATTCCTCACGGAATCATACAATCTTATACGTTTTATTAGCCCGTCCTTTCAACTATATTCTTATGGAAGAAATAATTCTAATCGCCGCATTAGTAATAATTTTTTTCATTGTTGATTTGTCGCGTTAGAATTTGAACACGGCAATGCTACTTTTTTGACAAAAAATTTTAGCAGTTATAAATAGCCCATTCCAGGTGCTCTTTTGACGATGCTTGGTCACCCCACACATACATTCAACAAATTAAAAAGTGTTCGTAATGAAAATGATAAAGAAAAACGAAAGCACATATGTAATTGTGTAAAACGCTAAGCATTATTGGTCAGATGGAACTGGAGAGTGAGGTTAGTGAAGCTCCAGTATCTTGCTTGAATGCTGAATCGTTATAGCATTTTTAACCTTACTCTTGAGCTGCCTATCAGGCACTGTAAAACCTGATGCCAAGGCGTTTGTGAACTAGCTAAGGTAAAAGAAAGAGCTAACTTCACAAAATGGATTCGACTACAGGGACCTAATTAAGCTTTTTGATATCGCACGTCTTCGCGCTTCTTTCAAAACGTCTCCTTTACCTTTAATTCTTCTCTTAATTAATTTAATTTTAATTCCTCAGTAATAGGTTCATTCTATTTGGCATGCCCATAAAATACTTTTTGTCCTGAAATTCTTGCTCTTTACTTACTCGTTAGCACACATAAACAATTTATCTTTTTAAATCCCTACTTGTTTGTAGCCTTGTTTGAGATCTGTTTATATGAAGACAAGGTATCCATGATTATTTGCATACCCACTATATTGATATGTGGTTATGGCTGGCATGCGACATTTTTTAATCAGAAAGTCGAGACTCAGCTAGGGATTCACCTCCTAAACACAGATTCACTCACAATACGGTTTCTTTCGATTCTGTAGTTTAATTCCTCATGATATTTACAACTAGATAACCCGTTTCGGTGATGGAGAAAGGGTCTCTATCGTATCCTTGATCGACTATATTAAATCTGGCCATGATCCGCTTAGGTTTTCTGTGAACATTTTCCAAGTGGCATTATTTTCACCTTCCCGGTGCTCCATCGACATACCGAGCGATTCCTTGAATGGAGTCTAGTGCTGTGCTTCGAGCCAGGCCTTTCCCTGAACAGGTGCTTCTGTCTTTTTATAGAATTCTTTTTGAAGGGATCATTACTTGTGGTTGAAGAAAGAAATTTTCTAAGCATCTAAGTTCTGTGTCAGCGACTTCGTGTGATGTTATTCGTTTTTTTTTTAATTATCAAAATCTGTTTGTAATCGAGTCTTTTCGTTGAGTGTGGTATTCTAACTTTTTCACGTTATATACGTTTCAAACCTGCAGCCTGTTTTACAAATCAATGCATGGATTTCTTATAAAAAATATTTAATTTCCACGGTCGTCATTTTTCCAGGTATTTTCTTAGAGGTGACCAAGGTGCTCCTTCAGTTAACTGACCGCAAAAACTGTGTCGCGAATTCTGCGAATTACCAAACCGGTTACATTTGTAAGCCGTAAACGTCCTTTATTTAATTTAACGGAAGACAACAAAAAGTGCCCTGCAGAGTTAGTGAAGTTTATTATACAAGTTGCCTTAGTGTTATTGCTACGCTCCAGTAATGTTACACCACTAGTCAGTGTAGGCTTCAAGCTTGTGTGTTCAAATAAAATATCTATGTAACTTAGGTCTAATTTTAGTCTGATTAATGCTAGGTTCCCTTTATGCATTGTCCGACACACCAGCGAAAAGGTATTCACCTTCCCGGTTCTCACTAGCAGAAACGTTATATGGTTGAATTTCGTTGAGCAGGCGGTGCTTTTTACTAGTATAGTATGTTATGCATCTTGCAGATCTTTAATACTTTAGTAGCGAGTATTATGGCTTCCATTGCAAGTAAAACTACAGTAGGAATTTACCAAATGCATCTTTTATAAAGAATACAAATATATGCAGAAACAATGTACAATCGATTTTAAATAAACTATGTACATGGCCGATATTTGCGATTTTGCGCTGCAAAAATATTTATATGAACATCGAAAAAATTTTACTTTGTATAGCCTGTAATATATTCTGATGTGTGCTCGTTTAACTGGTTCATAGATAAACTTAAGAGAATTATTGTGGTGAGGCATAGAAATTCAGGTTGCACTTACGTTGAGTGCTTGGGTTCTCTTTTCAAAATGGAAGACATAATGCAAAACTGTAGTATAACAAACCTTTCCAAACCTCAGATCTCTTTACTATGAAATATAGAAAAATGTATTTCAGACAGTGGTAGCAGGTCTTGCACGCCCTATGATATATATGGGAAAATCCAAGCTCGGAAATGAAAGTGTACAAGGGTGAAAAGGTACACTGCAAGGCAATTAATATTATTACTATACCAGCATAGTGAAGAGGTTCCATCACTGAAACCGCGACACTAGTTAGTATGCATTTAAACTTGCCGAGACTGCTAGTCAGTAAAGCTCGAAAAGTTAAAACGCATCTTAGGCTCTTCGACAATGTCATACGTTTCTACGAGATCGGAGACAGGTAGAGCAATCGAGCAAAGCAAGCACTGCGGATTCCTAATGGTAGCTGTTGCAGCCAGTGATTTGCTGCATTTTTCGCCTATGTATGAGGTACCACTGCAGCCGCTGTACAGTATGGGCAGCCTTATATATAAGAACTTGTAAAGGCAGGTTAGGGGCATGCCCAACATGACCAGACTCTTCGCAAATAATGCACGTGATAAAACCATATACTCCGACACCATTCAGTTGGACGTAATTCACCGTCGTTCATAGAACAAACCAAAATATACAAGGCCCTTATCACTTCGTGCTCATATAAGGCAAAATCCTTTACACTGTGAAGCCAACGTTGGCCTAAACGTATCGAGTAAGCTAACGGTTGTGTTTATATTCGCCCCTGAATCACCGATACTGTTGTTAGTCTACAGAAGTTCCTGTTATCGTGGCAGATGGGCCTTGCTCGGAGTGCTTAGTGTTGACGAACAAAATCAAATCGGTGGCTGCCGTCCACATTCACACACTACATATACGAGTCATTGTAGTGCCTAAAACACTGTGCATATGTCTTCTTATGGCCGCACGTCGCTATTATCTAGTGTAATCCCAGTTCAGTCACTAGAAACAGTACAAAGTATGCATCGTCATCGGATGAGCCGTTTGATGCAAATGTGTCTCGGTCTCACACCAAATAGCTCCTAAAAGCATTTAAATATAACGGAGTCACGCATACATTTCAAACGCTTAAAAGTTCACTTAAGGATTATCTATTAGTAGACAGATACTACCAGAAACAGCCTTCGTGCCGTCGCCATAGCTTGTAGACTAATATCCAGGCTACATCGCCCTAAATATTTCAAATTTTAGGTTGGATGCTGCCGTTAAGCATTACTTCAGATAGCTGGCCTCCACCACAAGACAAAGTGTACCTAACGCCGGTTTCATAGGTACCATCGCTCTTTGGTTCACACCTTTTTCGAAACACAATAGTAGCGTAATATTAATTTTCAATTAAAATCTAAAAGAAGCGAACATTTGTGACAGAGCTCTTTCTCTCTTATGTTATTCATAACATAAAAATGCTGACGATAGCCAGAAGCAAAATCAAATAGATATGTTTTTAAAGTACGATGCTGGACCAGGTCCTGCCGGTTGCAAAATATTCGTCTGGTTAAATGACTTAAATATTCCGTGCTCACCACATGTGAATAGCTGAGATTGTTTATAAACATAGAACAGACCCACCGTACAATTGATAAACTAAAGCTGCACATGAACAGAATATAAACATAAATTGAAAATATGTGGTAGTGTTGACTCCTATTTTAAAACGATTCTATGTAATTAGATAAATAATCAATATCACTTAATAAGTATAATATAGTTTTTCAGAAAAATATGCTTTTATTTTCCCTTCCTAAAAATGCGCATTTTTTATAAGAAATTTTATAAGGACCTTTTCAAAGCTTTTATTTTTATTGGAAATGGACTGCATACGTGAAAGCGGAATCATTGACATAAAGGATAATAGAGCCCTATAGAGCTTTTTCTTCACAGTTAACGAATCAGAATTTTTTGTTTGAGGCGCAATTTTTCATCAAAAAACTATAACTAAGCATTGCCTTTCATTTGCGGTCTTTCAAGTACGGTTTCAAACATAACGCCCTCTTTAGTCCGTTATTATCAGCGGATACGAACCGCACGTTGAAAACTTTTGGCGTTATCCATTGTGTGTTGTATTGTCTCTATGAACTTGTTGAATCAGTCTCTTGCTGTTCTAGTGAAACTAATCCTGCTGAGCGTTTTATGATATAGATTCAAGCTACATAATTTCGTCTTTACTACTCAGAGTGAAAAAAACGCATCTGGTTTATTAGCTTGATGCACACACGATCTCTTAGACGTTACTCCTATTTGCACAACTGAATCTCAGGACAGCTAGACTTTGATGAGTATCCTAGTGTAGAACTTTCTCTTGTAGAATTTGTATTCCGTTGAGAAAAAATGGAGTTGCTGGCAGCCAAAAGGCAATAAATTAAGCTTTCGGAAATGTTGAACTGCCCCACGACTGTATGTATTGACATGCGGTATCTTGTAGTGGAAATTGAAAAAGCAAGGACCCCTAATTGTTTCAAGACATGTAAAACTGTAGTTTTGTACTAAAAAATTGAAATAGACCTTTGCTGTGAACTCCATTCCTTGTTATATAAAGTACGACTTGCCGAAATGTTGTGGAGTAAGAGCTGTTAACTAGCTGCACAAACGTACCTCTTTACTCCTGCGAATCTTGTACTCCCGCTCTCTCTCACGTCTCTCCTGAATTTTATTGTAGCACGTGATGGTAATGGAAGCGCACATGCCCATCACCAGTGCCGTGAACACCACCAAGATGATGATCATGTGGTCAGAAGTCAGCACCAGAAAAATACCAGAGCCTGCATGGACAATCAAAATTGTTGATTAGGTTGCTACTAAAATCAAGTGTCTAGAGATATGTGGCAGAAGTCAGGTTCGGGAAAATGCAACACTGAAACAATGCTTGTTTATATAGATATTGTATCTGTCACTAAAGTTCAAAGTTAAATATTATAAGAACTCTCACGAGTAGTACTACTTATTCCAATTGTCCTCCTCTAATCCAAGGAAAAGTGTTCAGTTACCATCCATATGTCTTTCACCATGTAATTATCACCAAGGGTTATCACATCACTACTATGTTGTGAACAATTAATTTATAAATAAAATTATTGAACGTTTGCTAAATGAAGTTTGGGATATACTTTATAGTTGAGTGGTTTGAAAAGGAAACGCGGTACTTATCTTTTCTTTCCTGGCCTATAATATGGCCACTGCGCAGACTGATTGATCCGATATTTAAATATTTAGAAATCTCATTTAGTTTTTAAAATACACTTTAAGTTCATATATTTGCCTAGCTATGCGTATTGATCATTGGAACCAACTTTTTAATGATGTGCTCGACTTTTTACCTAATTGATGGTTGCTTAACAAATTTGCACACACTTAAAATTCAATCTTTGAACTTTATGGCACTTGAGAATATCAAGAAACAAAAAAACTCAGGTACTGAGTAGACATTTGCTGAGGTTAATATACATGCTGGCGTTTAATAACAAGACAGATTAACAATGTTGAAGCATATTGGACAACATTGGTTATCATTTAATTTTTCCGATAGAGTTTAAAATTGTAACTTGTTGTTTGTTAAGAGTGTAAGACGCGCACTTACATCTGGAAAGACTTTAAGCGAGAGTTCCATTACGTAAAAATGTGTCTCGCCGAAAACGAAGCTTGACTTACCGACAGAAAAACCAAAATATTGCTATGACTGGGAAAGATAACCTAGGTTACGAATACAAGAGAGTAGTCATGGACGAAAGTTTTCATGCTGAGCTTATTATATCCGATGTTGTAAACTTTTATACACGAAAACTACTCACCGTACACCATGAAAGTTAAGTACGTTTTAAGCATGCTAAGGCATAAATATCATGTTCCGCCGTTTGGCAAGTACAAAACAAGCGGTCGTCTGCTTCGACGAGAAAACCCCACCTTCAGGTTATTTGGATCGTGGCCAAAACGAACTTGGCCGCCAATGATCATGTTGTAAATGTTGCATTTAGCAAGGATGGCATCATACCACAATATATCTTCTACAGAAGTCATTAATCCAGAAGAAGTCTCCTGATTACTTGAATTTCTTTTGGAACAAGGACTTCTGATTGTTGAACAGCGTAAGTCTTTGGAATCTTTGTGTGAAGGTAAGACGTTCACAAATCCTGCTACACCAATTCGGACATGTTCGAATCTTATAGAGGAATACTGGTAATAAACATTTGTGCGGGGTTTCAATGAGCCCTCCGCGACGCTCGGCAAGAACCGTCAACCTGGAACACTTAAGGATTCAAATACTAAAGCTTGTTCCTGCTGTGAACCCATGGATCGGCTAAACCCGGGAGCGATAAAATATGAAGACTCTTCAAGAATGTATGAGGCAAAAACGCACCACCTCAAGTTAAGTATGCGCCCACCGTGCACCACCACCCGTGCGTCGCGCAAAAGGGTTGTTGCTTCCGGTGAAAAATCGTGTGTCGCGAATTTTACACGCGGACCTTAAGTATTATCCGTAGGAAATACAACTCACCCAAAAATTGCCTGCAGCGAGCCACAGAGCCCATAGAGAGTTAAATATCATCAACAGCTTTAAAGTTAGCTTCTTTCGTGCCAGCGATACCTGGGGAGTCATTTGGCCCAGCCAGCCAATTCATAGAATACGATACATCATCCTGCACATAAGAACTTTAAGCACACAGTATATTTATGAACTCTTACGCTGTAGAATTATGTAATTTTTGATGTATCATACAGAAACATTCTACATGGCACTTCAGAGCTCATCGTATTTTTCAAGATGTTTTGTTTGGCCATACTATTTTAGGTGCTCAGCATAATGTTCATGACGAATCAGTGTTGAAATTGATCGAAACAAACTTTAGCTGGCTGTTGACTGTAACGGGCGCCCATCTGCCGTTCTTAATACTACAAGAAAGTTTGATCTTTTTAGAATGCAAAAATGAGATCGTCATGATGGAACACGATGCGTTATGTTTAAAAACTGACTATTATCCAACTTCTCCGTACTGGATGGACCCCAGTAAAACATGAACTTTATTCCTTGTCTGAAATCGGCAGTCTACGTTGTCGTCAGTTTCTATGAAACGCGAAATTTCCGTAGAAATCGGTAGATCTTCAATAGGTTCTAGATTTAAAAGATTTAAAGGTCTGCCTAAATGTTTGACAACCATTTTCGATACACCTAGATTTTTATCTAGATATTAACGGCCGTTTTAGAAAGAATATACTATTGTCAATTGGATCGTCCAAATGAGCATTAACGGTTGGTCTTTTTGAGACAAGTTGTGCCCTTTCGCACCGTTTGTACTGTTTTTTTAAACTTTTGACTCGCTATCAACCCGGAATTCAGCTGCTTTTTTGTATGTAGCGCATTTACATGACACGTAAACAAATTTATACCTACCAGTATCGTTTGATTCTTGAAAAATGACTAGCGAGTGATTTAGGTCTAGAACTGAAGGTGTAATCATAATGAATAATGGCTAAATTAAACAAAGATCACCGTCAGAAATGATACTTATAGGTAGTGTCTGTTTGATACAGGGACAATCCTAAAAATAAAGCATACAAATGATTCTTAATTTAAGCGCCTCACCCTGTATTTAGTTCATGCTCGACTAATAAATACCTTTTTCCAGGAGTAGAATTGTTTAAAATGCGGAATAGGTTACACATATATATAACAGTGTTCTCATTAAGCCTGGATTAGGTACACATACAAGTGGAGAAAAAATAGTTTGGATCTTCGGTCTAGTATGCATAAAGCGCGTTTACGTAATAATTGTAATATATGAATGAAATCCATTCCAGTAGCGTGATAGAATATAACTACTGTAAGTGGTTAATTACCATGGAATAGGCCTCAGGAGTGTGTTCACCGGACGCCTATGTAGGCGTTGGTAAACTCTCCAACAATCGTTTACGGTAAGCGCAATACGTATCAAACATTAAAGGAAGCTGATGGGATAGCGGCGGGATATCTAGAGCAGGCTAAGTGCGACAAAAGTAGATTTCTTAAACCAGGAAGTAGATGGCTACCACGCGAGAACGAAAATTCTACTGCACAATGTCATGGTAATTCGAATCGAATGGTGCGGATTTCGACTCACGGGTCATGAAGTGCTATCCTGTCTGTAAAATTGTGCATGACAGATAAAACAGCTTTTGAAAACGCGAATAATCTTCTGGTGGGCAATTTCTTTGTCCTACATGGGGATGTTATTCTGACCCATCTTGGCATATATAGTACGCCTTCCTCAAGTGAAGGAATAGCTTTGCCAGGGGTTTTTTTTCCGTAGAGCGTAATGTTAATCTGTACGGCTAACTTAACATTGGATTAATGAGAAAATTTTCGATTTCAAACGGTGAATTATGTCGAAATGACTCATAAATATAAATCATATTTCAACACTTTTCTTGGGAAGTGGTTTTTCTTCTTAAAAAAAGCACGATGCAGATCAATTATCTTGCAGAATAGTTAATGAGATTTGAGCCATCCTCAATGGGATAAGTTTTTTCCGAGCAGTGAGATGAACTCAATTGAGAGAACGTGAATAATCGTAGAAAACCATGGGATCTAAACTGGCGCCGCGTATACAGTTAAAGTTTAATTTAGTCCTGTGAGTACAAGTTGATTATAATATTTATAGATTTACAGTGGCGATCTCGAATTAGATTCCACTTTGCTGCTAGCGGCAAATATATGCAGTGCGTTAATAAATAATAAAAAATAACGAGCTTTACTGAGACAGTCATTGAGGGTCACTAATCACTGCTGGACTAGGGAACAGAATGGCTGCGCCGAAGTAACGGAGCCAAAAGACACAAAACAACAAACCAAGGAAATATGACTACTGTAGTTAACATGGGACAATAGGTTTATATATTTAACAATAATAACAGTCTCGAGTGAATGGCAACCGAACACCTGGGGAAGTCGTCGGCCGGCAATCGATTGTTTATGCTAGATTATAGGTGACACGCATCGAACATTACACCGGACTGACAGGATAACTAGAAACCTATTAGAACAATCTTATGTGAGACCAGAATTTGTGGAAGTAGAGTAGCTTCAACGAGAGAAATGTTGTTAATAGATCTACTGAATTACGGAAGTGGAATTACCGGAACGGGATAACGTAATTGGTAGTACTACAAAATCTCAAAAGGTTCAGAGCTGATGATATGGGCCTGTATGTACACTACAGGGTATTTTACATCGGGTGCAGCGCGAATGAGATGCGTTCATATCGGCTGAAAAGACTACAAAACGGTAACGAGATAGATAAACAAGCATATATAACTCGTGCTCAGTCTACTTTTCTACTAAAGCTCACCATCGTTAATTTTATTCCGATTTTTTCAGCAACTATTAGAAATGTTCCCAAGGGTTTATTATGAAAAGTCGATTGTTTTTCCACAAGGTTCTCGATGCAAAAAACTTTTGTTAATGATAATAATAAAAATGTTAATTTCCCAACTAAATCTAAAAAAAAATTTTCAAAGATAGATTAACATAGTTCATTTTTTTAATATGTAAATACTTCTTGCAGGGAGCAGTTTCTTCACCCGTAAAAGCGTAATACCAATTTGGCTAGTTTGCGAATCTAAAGCATCTCTTCCATATTCTACCATCGAAGATTTTTCCTGTGAACAGTTTCGTTTTTTCGAGAGAGAATAAGGTTCATTTGGGCATGCTTTTATATATATATATATATATATATATATATATATATATATATATATATAGGGCAAGGGTAATTTTTACTCGAATAGTTTATGATTAATTCAATATAAACCATCGAAATTCGTCTATGAGTATAGTTCTTCTCTAGAAGGTGGTCTTTCTCGTATGTGATTTTTAGTCAGTCAATTTGCAAAATGATTGATGAACCATTTTAATATACATAATTTGTTGCTACATACAAATGGTTGTAGCACATATTAAATGTTAGAGCAGGTTATTGAAATAATTGCAGTGCATGAGTAGGACCGTTGAAATATTTTATGAATGTGAGAACGGGATATGTAAAGCTGCAAGCCAGGGAAGTCAGGTTGCAATGGGACAACGGAATTGATGGCACAAAGTCCCACGAAAATTTAAGTTGGATGGCGTAGATACGTGACCGAACTATCTGGCCGAAGTCTTTGGCTGCGCGTAACACAAATCAATATTATTCATATTAGAACAGATTGATAAAACAACCGCAAAAGGATAAAGGGCTAAGTGGAGCAGAGTAGATACAACGGGATAACTGTTGGCGTATACAAAAATGCAATCTAAACTGGATTTAACATCAAGGAGCCATATTAGTTAAATCAAAGAGAAAACAGTAGCTCCATCTGGTCATCACCTAAACTACTGACCTCGAGTTCTGAGAGCGTTTGCATACATTAAACGTTCAATATTATAAGCCTGATGCTGAATGATTATACTAGAGGTAGAACACTTCGCCTTGGATTTAGTTCAGCATATCAAGTTGATAGGCAGCTAAAAAATGTTCCCTTAAGATATTCTCTTATTTGCACGTAAATTTACCCTGTAGCCCTGCATGATCGGTTGACCATGTGCAAGGCATAACAAAGGGAACACGAACAATAGCATGGCCAGCCAGTACTACGTGATATATACGCTATTACTTAGAAAGAGAGCATACCAAGTATGACTCTGAGGCATATAATGTACATATACTTACTCACTGCGCAGCGATTGGCGTCTTCATCGTATCGATATTTGCAGTTGTAATCGCCATCACAAGTCAATTTGTTGCTGATGCACCAGCCGTCATCACAGGAGAACTCAGTCAGAGGATTACAATCCTCTGCCAAGTATATATATGTTGGTTAGTGGACATATTATCAATAACTCAATACGTTATCTATGTTTATTACATTGTAATTTCATTTATTAAACGAAAAAACAGCTTGTCTGTATGCGGACACCTTGAAAATATACGCTCTTTCACGGTTGTGTTATTTAGATAGTTAAGCCTCCGAAATGCCTCCGATAGCACTATTCTAGAGATGGCTCTGTGATTTAAATAAAACAAAAAGACGACTATATATATATACATGGTGGTTTTTTTACAGGTGTGACCCTTTACTACTTATACTAGAGGGTCTGCGAATATTGTACTGATGACAACGAGATGAAGGTCAAAGCAAACAACTGTTGATGAGATCTGGGTAATATTTTTTTGGACGAAGAGGACAACCAATACAGTGAAAGTATTCTAACAATTAATAATAATCAGCATCACAATATAAATAAATATTGGTACAAATATAATAATGCTGTAATCGTATTGTAAATAAAAATCATATTTAAACCAATCTCCGATTTTACATATAAAAGTCTATTTTGGTTTTTAAAAACTAAAATGCCGTATATTTATTATCCTATGCTGAATTTCACTATTGAATACTTTTTAAGCCAATTGAAGTCCGCCAATTGGTCTCCTCAACTCAAGAAAACAACGAAAATTATACTAAAAGCTAGTGAAATATGAGAGTGGAAAATATCGCATAATATTGGAACTCTCGTTCCCTATTTTCCATCGTTATGGCACTTGCCCATGGGCCTTTTTAAAAATTTCAATTATAAAAAAATTAAAGATGGTTGCACTTAAATTAGTTATGGGCATATTAGAGACAAACTAATTTAGCATTAAGTTCTCGTTCTTAGGAAATCCATACGGACTGACGTATGTGCTTTTCATTAGTGGAGGTGTGTGTACAAACTCATGATTTACTCATGTAGTCCTTGTAGTTTTAGTTCTATGGGAAGGTTCCTCAGGTTTTTAAATCATTCCCGTGATGGCTTTGTAGTAAGATGTTAGTCCACTGAATTTAAGGATACGTCTACTTTCTGCAGCCAAATAGTACATATATGATTTGGGCAGATACGAGGTCGAATAAATGAACCTGACCGCTTACATAGTACTGTACCTCAGAGCTGGAAGTTGTACGACACGCGAATTTATGCGTACTTTCGCTTTTTCAAACATTGCGAGTTAGGTAAACATTGTATAACAAGATGTGATATTTACCATTGTGATCAATCAACTGCTGTCATACCAAAAATGGTGTTGCTAATGCAAAAATTGTAAGTGCACGCTGTCAGAGAAACCAGGCTTAAAGATCTACGTAAACCTGTAAAAGGTACTGCCTGCTAGGGATAGCATAGGTTCATTACAAAATCGATTGAACACTATAAAATTATCTACATAAAACTGTTTGTCAATTTGTGAATGTTTGTTATTGATCATTGAACTGATTGCTGATTTTTACAGAGACAATGGGCAAATATTGTTTCCCCACATAAATCCTGCTTTTTAACTAAAAAGCTCGACCTCCAAGGCCCGGATACTTTTCCGGTCGAGGCCTGAAAGGATAATTTCCCAATGGACTCGATACGCCAGATGGCACATCCGGTTACACCTTGATAACTATATAGCTTCTTAAAGTATTGTTTACCCTTAGAATCTAGCCTAAAGCTAAAAAATGAAAAATAATTGGTATGTTATAGGCAAATGCACCAGTTTTACCTGTTAGTCTGTTTCCTTCAAATTATACTATATTGTTTCTAACTTCGGATTTACATCTTACCCAACTGCAAGCCTACTCTTGCCTCTTTACCCTATATGTGAACATCTGTAAAAATGCACCTCCAGCGTATTTAATATATAGGTATGGACGAGTGAAACTATCCAACAAACAAAAGCCCTGGTATGTGCCGAGTTCCGTGTTAATTCAAAATTTTACGGGATAAAGACTATATCAGCAGCGCAGCAGTAGTAATGTAGGACAATAGAATAACTACATCGAAATAGTTACTTAGCATACTATGATCCAAGCTATGGCTTAGGTTAGATTGGAAATAATCAGAGAGCATATTTAGATACACTCTTACAGCTTCACATCTGGTGTTGACGTTAAGCATCGCCTTAGACTCAGTATGCAAAAAGTGTGTCCACCCCCAATTCCAACCCTAGACAACCACTTGTCTCTAAATTTAATAGGCAAACGCATTACCAGTGCAACGTGACGGGAACACGATGACAGACCCGGATGGCATCGAACGTAAAGCGATATGGGGAAAGAAGTAAGAGACCGCTTTGACTTACGTTTATAGCCATTAAATGCGGTATAAAGTGCGCACGAACGATATGCCAGTGCTTAATGTTATTCGCAAGTCGATCGCTAAACTTAACGTCAAATCGGTGCGAACTGGACACTTTCGGGATAATCGTCTCTTCAAAAATCATCGCTCGTTTTGACAAAAAAAAATGGTGAATGTCTTGGAGAACGTCGGAGATCCTATCATTAGCGAGGAATATTTAGGACAAACACGCCTTCCAGTTTGACTCGGTAACGCGGACATTCCCCAAACAGGGGTCTCAGTCTATCAGCCTTCCTGATAAAGCGAGCATCACAGTCGGAAATGAAGCTCTGCGATGATGGAACGCGGGTCAGCCGGTGAGTGATGGAGAAGCAAGCTATCGAGCTGAAGCCGATTTTTTATGGTAACGCAGGAGCTTAAAATGTTTCCATTCAATCTTGTCGAAAGAGTGCTTTCCGATAACCAATTTCGGAGAGCTAATGAGCTTGAACAAGATATCACTATGCTTGAGAGAGACAAGACCTCAAATGAACTCTGAAATTTGGTCGCTGCTTAAAGCTGGTCGAGCTGACCCCAGAACGACACGATGCAATTAAACACATGAGTGGTGTAGTGCTTAGATCGACAACGACCTGATGGCTTCAACAATAGGGATTGGAAACGAAACATATCACTGGAACAACAGGTAACAGTTACAGGTATGTACATAACGGGCTACAGTAGAAGTGGGCCAAATGACACGCTAGCATGACATGATTTTATATCAGTTTCATTAAAGATAGTTTTTTCTTATTATTTAACCTCAAATCAGTTTTATTTTGAGCGTTCCTTCAGTTCAAAGGAGTAGTTAGGGGAACGGCTCTTTCAAATTAGTTCAGATGAATAGTTTTCATCAGACAATTTATAGCTAGAGACTTAATGCGGTATCACGAAACCGATACTATCTACAACACACCGTAGAACGTAATGCGATAAAGTTCACACGCAACATAATTGCATCATTAACAATGTAGATGTTCGTACAATATGTACCAAAAATATTAAATATTATGAGTATATTAACACATTGTAATGAAGTTAAGATCAACAGCTTTTCTGAGGTAACTTACTGCTTCAGATTTGGGACATGCGGATCCAAATATGATGTTGTGGGCAATGCGCCGTGAATTCTAATGATAATAATCTCATCGGTATTTGGATTTTTCTTAACATTTATATATTTGTATAATATCCATCAAAGATGGTAATGGTATTGTTATTACTATTGAATATGAAATAATGGCAATGAATACTTATCATAAAAACTAAATAAACCGGTAGCAAATTCCGGAACATAACCAGATACTTACTGGGGTCCATGACCTCCCTAAACGCCGTGTAGAGAACTTCTAATTTAGGCGGCTTGTTATTTTGTTTGAACAAAGCGCCCTGTGCGAAGAAGCGGATCTGCACCTCGTTCGTCACCGAGGTTGTCGGTTCTGCTATGGTTCCGCAAAAATGGCTTAGTCTGAAAATGAGTTTTAACATTAACCTGTTGGGATATTGTAACGGTTTAAGAAAATGGATAAAATTGCCTTCTTTATCTTAAGCAGCTCCCTGGCTTTATTTTCAACATGAAGCAGTATAAACTGTTTCTACTCAGATATTTATTAAGAATCATATAAAGCTCACATGACCGTATACGAATTAGTCAGGTAAAGGTGTCTCGAAATGACTACATTATAAACCCGTTTACTAGGGTAAGTTGATGGCTGGAGAATATATAGTCCTGTTGGAGGTTCCCAAACAAGTGTGTTTGTGAAAGGTTCTCAAACGGGCTTGATTAGAATCTTATTCAAGGGAAGCTCATGTAGTTTGCATGTTCTGAGAATATTAAGTGTACCGTCCTCTCTGAGTACTAGTCGTACAAATCAAGGTACGCATTTTGTACGCATACGGGTACATTTTGAACGGCCGGACGACGGATATAGACGATTCTGTATCCCCGCTTCAGTCCTTGTTGACCATCCACTGTTCGTTCAAAACTGTAAAAGCTCCTTATTGGCACGCATGGAGACGGTTCATTGCTGATGTCTGTTTGATCGCATTCAATTCATAGAATTTAATCTGAATTACGTTTAATTTTCCGCAAGAAATATAACAGCAGGATGTGAAGTCTGGTAGCATGCTTGATAGGGTGCCAGCCTTTTTTCATGTATATATATCGGATAAGTCATTAGTCGACTGACGAAATATCGACTAGCGTTTCATGTCCTAACCGTATCCGTTGCGTACGGGCTGTTTATTTGCTTGGCCGTAATGCTTGCCATCGCTATCAGTTATGCTGCGTCCGCGCAACATTTGCGTGCATCAGGCGTGGCTGCGCCGCTCGCAACTCGGTGTCTTAACGATCTTGGGCCCCTGCTGTGACGCCTCCCTAACGGCTACTTTCCTAAGGACTGCACATCCCTCAAGACTCTTGGAGACTCGCGCCGCGCCCCATAGCGATAATACATTCCCGCTGTTTTCTCTTTTTGAAATTTCTACGGATCTGGCGGCTTCGCATCGTATATGACCGCTTGCTCCCCCGCACGGCACACGTCTAATCTCCTTTGTTCGACAAGCCTCTTTTTGTCGACACAAGTCGTTTCGCAACCGAGTCTCCTGTTCCGTTTCTTGTTTTAACGTTAGCGACCGCTTGATGTCTCTACCAGTACTGGAGGACTACCTGAGGGTCCCCAACTCCGTCTTCTCCGTCTTGTACGATCAAGCAGAAATCCGCTGGAAAGTCACTAGAGCAGTCCTCAGGTCTCGTGGTTCGGTTGTTTGCACGGATTTGGTCGAGTTTTGATGCTCCACTAAATTTTGAAGAATTGGACTGCTCGGTGACCGACAATACACCGACTAACGGCTAGAGCTTCTGTATCCTAATCGCGTTCGAAACAGCAGCTATCTATTGTTAACATTGTTGACTGCCATGGTATATGTATATATATAATAACTGAAACTGATTTATATATATATATATAAAGATCAGTTTTAATAATCACTAAGAAATCTCACCATTTAAATTTCCTCCGCTTTCTTGTCTCTATTAATTAAACGAAACTTGTCCAAGCACTAACTCACCTATAGTACCTAACAACATGTGTATTAGTCCTTTGAATGCGGTGATAGCCTTTGTTTCAGGGGCACACCTATCATATGCTATTGGTTTTGCGCCTTAATATTTCGCAAACATCTTTTAGCAAAGTTTCTGCCTGAAAGCATTTATTACCTACGAACTTAATGGTAGTCCGATCATACGGTGTTTTCAACAGAACAGAAACATATCGCTCAATACTATCATAAATCCTACTGCGCGGCTTATTTTAGAGCTCAGTTTACATTTACTGTGTACTAGAACCAAAATATAAATTCAGTTACAAAGGATATTTTTGTAAACGTAAGAGCTAACACGATGAAAAGCTAACGTTGTTCTTGTCAGTTATAAACTTGGTCAGAATATTAAAGCAACGCTTAAGTTGCTAGCATTTAAAAAGTTGTAAAGATTAATTCCATCTTAAAAATGCAAGGCCAATTATTTTTTTACTAATCTTGTAAAATATATCCCTTTCAAAGCTAGATGACGAAATGATGGAATAGCAAACTATTATAATCTATTAGTCCGAGAGACTATAATGTATGTTTAATAGTATTACTAATTACCGGTCTTGCTTAGCGCCCCCCGAGATAATGTCGAGGAAGTTGGTCTGGCAGTTATTCGGCTGGGCCAGCTCATACTGCAGAAACGTAATATATATCTTAGAGCCATTCTGCACACGTATTGTCCACGTACAATCAATTGGCGACAACGTTTCGTTTGCATGTAAGATTATACTGTTACTGATATCAGAGTAACTGATGCGTCCATTCACACCGTCGCGATTAAATTTACACTCTGGGGGATCCACCTCCGTTTCTGAAATGGATTCAAATGCAGCTATAGTCATTAATACACCTCTAAATACAGCCTTTAACGAACAAAACATTCACTGCTATGTGCATAGAGTAATGCATTCTATAGTAATGATTACTTGGGGCTGCAAACGACCATGCAGGAAAAGCCGGACCGGACTATACGTAACGTCTGCCTATAAGAGGTTAGATCTGACGTCCCTGTGCATAAATTTACCTATTAATAAGCGTCCATTTATTGTGCTCTTAAAATTGTGCTTTTCTCTTATGGGCACAGTGAGTGAGAGTGAAAAGAAAACCGTTAATCTAACGTATGTGTGTATATATAACCATTTCTTGCATTTCGAGTTAGATGTTAACGTACATTAGAAAAATTTTAGGTCAATATAACGAGAATTTGGTCCACAAATATCAGGTAATATTTAGCTGTAGTAGATCGTATTGTTTGAACATCTCCGTAAGCAATTTCTAACCAAAGTAGCGCGTCCAGTAATAAAGGCAGCATCCCATTTGTCTTATCTTATTCGACATAAATGACTTACTTGGCGCTGGAATGAAACTGTACACAGCTTTGAATCCGACATACTCGATGGATGCGTCCGAGGTGAACTTCAAGTAGAGCTCTCTTCCTTCACTCTGGATTGGCTTGGGAAATTCGCGACCACAGAAGGTGCCAGCTAACGGTGAATAGCCGTGACCCCCGTTGTGTACCTCCAACTTGTCGAATTCACATGAAGGACTCTCCTCTAAGTGAAACTGATCGCGGAACTCCAACCGCACCATGTGATTTAAAGGAGCTGAGGAAGTGCTAAAACTATGTTAACAACCACTCGAAATATCTGTTCTAACACTTTGAGAGAGGAAGCTGTTAATCGAATTTGTTGCCCTATATATATATATATATATATATATATATATGTAAACTCTGGGATTGAAGCTTCAGCTTCATTTTATGCTGCAATGCAATGCTGCAAATAAAGATACTCGTTGCTCGGGAAAACTTATTTCAACCCTAATACACCTTCATTGAATCCTAGAGGGAATATACAGTTGAATCATGATAATATCATTATCCAGTTGATATGCGGCCAGCATTTTTCGAACTCATCAAAGAGCGTGTAAACTAAACTAAACTTGCGCACTTATCTATACATTTGGAAAGTTACGCAGTCTATGGACAATTCAACAAAGGCTAACGGTAACTTTCTGCTTAATTAATATATACATACATATTTGGAAATAGCGTATATTCAAAAAAGGAAAAAGAAGTTGAGCAAATGTATTTTAAAAACTTCGGTTAAAATTTTGGACCACCGCTGCTATTTTACCTTTCTCACACTTATTTATAGAACAAAGAATGAAAGCAAGTTACAAGGAGGGTAGTTTTTAAAATGTAAAACTTAAACTACTTTCTCGCAGGATCGCGGAACACAGAACATGCTATAAGTTGTTTTTCTGATTTCCAAGCAATGAGCATTAATACAACTGCGTTGATCATTCTAGCATGTAAATAATAATAGAGGAAGGTGACCTCGAAATTATGAATCTTTTGAAATACTGCGGGGATCTCATATGCAAATTTCTACCTTTAACACTCGACAAAAAAATCTCTTGTTCTCATAATAATTACTATTTATTATGACGTATGACTACCTCCATATTATGCCAAACGAGTTATCGCATCCATTATATACCCTTCATTTTTCCTCACAAACCGTTAGAAACAGCTGCTGTCCTAAATATCGCCCATATCAGACGTCGTAGCCTTTAAAGTTTTTTGCTATATTTTTCAGATTCCCTGCTAATAGGCCCTATGATCTTCATTACAATTGGGCAGCAAAAAGGTATCTATCATTAAAACAGATCTACTCCCGCATTTTCTTTGCAACACGGCGTTCGATTACCCATCTTGTAGTCGAGGCGTCGTGATCAACCTAGGTACGAATCAATGAAACATGTGCGCTCTATTCGAAGAATTTGCTTTAAGCCTAATGATATATTTACATGATTTCAATGTCGAAATGTGTCAAAAACTCCTTCCCTGTAGAATGCCTTCCGTGTGATCGTACGTAGCTATGCATCTTTCGTAGGCCAACTTAAGGCATGCAAATTTAATCGTTGCTGTCCACCGCGACGCCACAAACGGCGTTTTCGATCCTAACAAAGTGAAGTTATGGAAAGCGGACAGCCCTGAGCCAATCACCACTGAAAGGGGTCGTATAATACTATAAATACTTGTTGCCCTACATATATATATATATATGTCTTTTTTGTAACAGGTCAAATATTATGATAATGTTTGAATAAATACTGCGTCTACAGATATATAAGCACAAAGCGAGTGGTTATGCAGTTCTCGTTTTTGGCACATAGCAACAGGACTCAGTTGGTCTGTTTTATTTTGATGACTAGCGATATGGCCAGTCGTGAAAGAGTTGCTTAAACAGCTGGCTTCGACGAAGGAAAGCCTAAGCAACAAAGGGCTCGCGATTATATGCTGGAGGAGTTGGCAGCACCGTCCAACTCGACGACGGGAATGCGGCTCGGACCTCACGACAAAGATGCCGATCTCGTGACGCATTAACGGTCGAACTATCGGTAGACAGCATTACCGCGAGAAGATTGAAAAGTAGACCGCTTGTTAGTTAGACGAGACGTCCTCTAAACGTTCTCTCGAGACGGTTCTGACCAAAGGAAATTAAAACCTGTATCTTAAGCGACAGCCAAAGCTTTGGTGTTTTCTGACCGTCATCAGGGTCATCCAACTTCACAAAGAACTGTCCGTCGCTTTACGGCACAGTATCTAATTACTTATCTTATTATCTTACTTCATCGACAACGAATCGGCGAATCCACTGTAGGGGAAATGCGAGCAGAAACTCCGTTGGGAAACAACTGAGGTCACAATGAGTACTACTGCGAGAGCGGGATGTACGTCAAGAAAACGAAGCAAATACTGAATACGTGTTTGGCAATGGTGACTTTGATGAGTGGGCGTAGCCTAACAAAAACAACTCTATGGAGAAAAACTTTCATTTGGAAATATTCATTTTCGTATTTGACGCAGCAAAATTATCCTGACATCTTGACCGTACTAGCTGGCATCGTTGTTGGATGGACTTATTCCATATTAAATATGCAGGTGCCAAAAAAATTCCATCTTTCGGGTTTGCGAAACAAACCATTTATTTATTAATTGATTGTTATTATTAATCCGTAGAAAAGCAGTAAAACATTTTAATGTACGAATCGTTCGTAAATGCCCTATAGGCAGAACTCGCTATCATTACTTATGCTACGCGAGAATACCGTAGCAATGAAAATGGCATTTTTCCCAATACTAAAAGAAGTAATTCGTAGTTACTGCCACTTAAAGTGCCCATAAGAAAAGGTACTTCTCATGAGGTTCAAACTAAGTAACAGCACACGTCCGATTTCCAAAAAAATATAAAAAGTGTAGAATTAGAGCTTGTTCATGGAAAAAATACTAATCAGTAAATTAGATCCAAGGTATGAATATTTATGAAACAAAAACAATACTTGTCGCATCAATGACGACAACTGTGTGTAAAAAAAAACGACTGTTTTATGCCCATTGTTATTAATTATATAACAAATAATTTACTGAAGAAGTCTGCGTCGCGTCAAAATCAAGCTAGGGTTTATTTTATTTTCTAATGAATAGTACGTTTTGACAATGAAACCCGTGTACTATATATGTACATATATAAGGAATTTTGCCAAGGATAATTTGAAAAGTTAAGGTACAGCAGTTTGCTAAAATGGGTTGCTAAAACCTTCAAGTGAGCAGCCCAGCCTGATAATACGCGTCGCATCACGAAAGCTGCTGAGGGAAAACCAAATTCGATTAACAGAAAAAGGTTGTAGTTCAAAATACGTCAAACGAAAACCTAGTTAATATAGCTGCGCGCTTGAAATAACAGGCGTTAACATGTTGTGTTGCTCGTAAAACTTTCATAAGATAATTTTACGTAGGAGAGAAAGCAAATTAGAGAATCTTCCGCTCGCAGCAGGTGTCACAGTTATTTGGTTTGAAACGAGTGCCTTAATCGAGCAGCTGAAGACACTACCTATGTGATAATGATAAGGAAGTCCATCATGACTGCTGACAGGCTGGGAAAAAGCGTGTGGTCGATTGAAAGTGACTAGTAGAAATAAGTAAGATAATGGAGACGAAATCATGTTCCTTGTTTCCCAAGCTTTCATATAAAATGACCATTTATTATAGCTGGTAACCTGGCAGAATCTGCAGTAGAACTTGATATGGTACTCATGGAGCTAGCGAAATGCTGAATGAAGTTTCGGTTCCGTACAAATATTGTATCTTGGCAAAACTAGAAGAGTCAATTGCATTGCTACGGTTCGGTAATATCAAACAAATACTAAATATAAACAGCCACTAACCATAATACACTTTGTACTGGCAAAATAGAGTAACATAATTATTTTCGAAGAGATTGGATTGAAATCTGCAGTAATTGTGGCCACCACGGTCAGCTAGTACTGGCTTAGAAACAAAACGTTTTATTGCCCTACAAGCCGGCCTTCTAGGATCGTTTTCGATATTTTTTATGTAACATCATTCGTCAGTGTACCTGCATATCAGCACATTTTATTCTGTAAGAGAGCATAAACCCTTTTTGGTCTCTCCTATTCATTCTCTCTTTCCCATTTTTGGATGATACCCTGTCAAAGCAACTCTCCCTTACGCCTATCCTTGCTCGTTTAATTAAATCTCTGACGAGAATATGATGTCTGGCGTAAAAGTACATTTAATTTTCAATCACAAAGTTTATGATCTAATTCTTATTTTGATCATCCTGATATAGTATTTATAGAAGTATTTATATTATTATCAACAGTAATTAATTTTACGAAAACTGATTTCCTTAACGTAGACTTGATATTTTTTTTATTTATGTTGACTTATGGAAGCGCAATGGAGTTATCATCAAACTCAGAACTTAAACTTAGTTTGCTCAGTTTTCGTTAAAGGTACTGTCTTATTTCAGCCGTGTAACCTGAAAAATTCTTCTATCTGACACATTAATATAAGACTGTCCTACTTTGCTATCGTGGCATCACCATTTAAGACAAGGGCGCTTCGAAACAACCACTCACGCAGTTTTAAGGCGATTACCGAGACATACTTAGTTCCTTCGGGCCATTTCAATGGATCACACTTCTTCATCAATCCCCTCCGTTGCAAAGGAGACTGTAATTGGACTCTGTGAGATATATGGACTGAAAGCTCAGCAAGGTGTGTCCTCTATTACACATGGTTTTGTAAATCTTGATCCCTAAATTGCCACAGCTCCGAAATCACACAGTCATATTAACGCCCTATTTTGTATTTTTATCTTTAGCATTCCTTAAACCTATATCTCTTTTATGCCATTTTCCTTCTATTAGGTAATACTACTGAGAGCATTGCCTTGGTCGAGTTTAGTTCCCTGCCCTCATTGTAATCTTTCATATACAAAAAAACACTTGTAGTGTTTACTGCAGCACACCATTCAGAATATAACATCCATCCTATTTATACTATTCGTCAACATTTCTAATGGCGTTTGGGAGAATGTTAGTGTGTTGCAATGATAAAGATAATAAGTAAGTATACTGCCACGCTGGTTCAACTCCCAGCATTGGCAAAACATGTTTCGAGGAATATAAATAAAATTTAAGGTATTTAGTGAAAATAAAGAAACATTATTAAGGCTAGTAGCTGCTTGTGTGGTTGCCACGCCGTTTCATCAGTTTAATGTAGGAATCCCAAAACGCACTCCGATTAGACATTTAGTGAGGGCAGGTCATTGATGCAGTACCTAAAAGAAATTATTCCGAAAGCCTACTCACATCCTTCTTCTTCTTAAAAAGTTCTTAAAAACTTTCTCTGGTAGAAAATTAGACTGCCTATTATTATTTGTTGAACAGGAGATGATGATGTTTTAACTTCGCAGTAAAAGCCAGAACTTAGCCTTACAGTTTCGTTCCCTCTTCTTTTACCCTTTAGGAAGACATGTCACCTGCAAATCGCTGCAGGCCAGTGTTCTCCACGTAACTCTGTAAGGGACCTGCATCCTAGCCACTTTAGTGATTCACGATCCTAAACACTTGGAACTATCGCTATCTAAACGACGGGTGCGTTTGTAGTATTTATTGACGCCTGTACCCCTTGAGCTCTGATCAACTTAGCTTTGGAACACCGAAAGTATAAAGACTACAATCTTGCAGATTAGATTCGTTCGCTGATCTTCAATTGTTTCTGCTCTTCGCTGTTTAAATTTTGCAGCGTTTTGTGCTCGTGCATCATTATATTATGTTCAAAACAATTAAGGAATATACCTTAGAATTGTCCTAACCTTGCAGTCGCAGAGTTGGTTGATTTCTTATAATCTTTTTCGAACCCGTGGTATCTTGGCAACTTCGATGCACACGGTCGACACAGAGACAATTTTAAAAGACATTGGTGAAGTTTCAGAAATTACGGGCGCCCATAAAACTGGAAGAACCGGCAGCCAAACAATTTAAGTATGGACGGCGTACCAACGCGGTCGAAAGCTACTGTTCTGCCTGAATAAATCTAGAAACTTAATAAAGCGGTTGCATCACATCCGACAATTCCTAAACACCTCGTAGTGACAGCAATGTATGTCTCATGCGGAACTGCTCTGCTCGATGCCTGTCCTGCATGGCCAGAGAATAGCGGATGACAGGCAAAAACATTTCTTGGTATTATCCCGAACGATCCTTGAGAATTGAGCTCGTAGAAGGGAATTGCTAAAAAACCACTAGTACAAAGTACTTTTGGTAATACCTTCGACGCGTCACTCTGAGAGCTTGAAGCATGATGCCAGAAGCTCAACGCAGCTTCTGTAGGGAAAGTCAACAATGACTGCTTACGAAATCCTGCTTATCAAGAGAGGATCTGTCAAGTACAAGGGGCACGAAACAGTATATCTATGCTAAATTTGTCAATTTCAAGGCGACCTTCGACAGAGCACATAGAGATCAGATTTTATTCAAGCTCACCGAAGCAGAAATGCCTAACCAGTATTCTAAGCAATAGAACTACCTAGCGATATAAAAAGACATTCAGGAGCTACAATTTTCCAACAGGTTCCAAAAGTGGCTCAAAGCAATGGCCTCAGTCCTTTACTTCCTCAATCTTCCTAAGCGATCTCTCAAGCAGCATAATTAGTAAGCGCCAGTATCTAAGGGCAGATGTCCTATTCTGTGCCAATGATCTTGCGATTTATAGAACAGGTTGCTTAGAGGTCTAGCAAATATTTATCCGATTTCAATACTATGTAACGGAGAATGACCTAGAAATCAACTTTGACAAGGCTAAAGTTTTGGCCAGCTTTGAAGCTCCAAGAGGAAGCGGCACTAGCAGTAAACAACATCTCATAGCTATGCTATTTTTTAAGCATTTATACTATTTACGTCTAACTCTATCGTGCTTTTAGGCCTACTGCACCGAGTCACATGTAACAGAACGCGTTGGGAAAACGCCGGTAGTAGGTGCTGGCATAGAAAGATCGTCACTCCTCTTTCTGAATAGGACAATTCTCCTTTTCAATATCAAGCCCGTTTTAACCGCCTTTAACGGCATCCAATTCATTTAGGAAAACGTCAATGAGGCTCAATTGTGCACCCTACAACAGGTAGAGGCTGCTTTTTACCTGCTTTTTCTTTGTCAAGCAATGGGCCTGCATGCATCCTGTTATAACCGTTACGTATATTTGGGCACGCCACTATTCTTTAACGGTCTCTAGCGCCAGTTTGGCCTATCAAAAACTCCCATCCACCTGGAATTTATCTGACAACGCAAGGGTAAATAGTCGACACAGTTTTTTTGGCGCTAGTGCTATGGCAGATTGCATATAGAGGGAATTATATAAAGAGAATCGACGTGTTAATCCGTTGCGTAGTATATGGTTCCATGATATTATGCGGGTTAATGAGATTCGTGAAACAACCAGAGACCCCGGCTGTGTCCGCTGCGTAGGTTCGATTCACCTACTACTACCTACTGTGTAGGTTCGAGATGTTATCTTTCTTTTGCTCCAATTCCATCAAATGAACTATTAGAATTTGAAGCTTATTATAGTTGTTGTACTGTAATATTTTGAGATGAAGTTCATTATCTGCAATGCAGAGATGCTATTTCAAAAAGAATTAATGGTAATAACCTTTGAAATCTGACGTATCTCTACTGCTTACCCATCGAATATGCTACAATATGGTAAATGTAAATAAATGCTCTAAGTTACCAGTAATTCGTTTCATGCACTCAGTGTTGTTGGGGTAAGTGCCTCCGGAAAGGTTGAACAGTGGTGAGTAGAATTCCCTTCGTTCCGGGTCTCCCACAGTAAAGTTAAAGCAGATTCGTGCCTTCTCCTCTTCGTCCATTTCACCGAATTTGTAGCCTTTCTGCTCTTTAGCTGTAATAATCAAACAAGAAAAAGGCCAAATTAGACCTATTTGGCCTATTTGCAGGTTGACTGCTATGCTGAAAATTGCGAACAATTCTTTAGTGGTAATTAAATTGCTAAGCGTTTGTGATATACATGCGTGCTTCTCAGGGCACATACGAATTAAAACTATAATGCATTAGCAGTAATTAAAATATAATTAATTAAGTAGTAATTATTCGATCTCAGACGTCGAAGAAAATTAAAATAAATAATTTAATCAGTCAATTAATCCTCAAGTTAAATACACCTATACCATACTAGTTGACGATATATTATCTAGTTTAGTATCTCCACAAAAAAATCTTGGCTATAAAAATATCCGTTTCAGTGCCATAGTTGTGCAAAGTGTAATATAACATCTTCCTTGTTAAGCAATCAGTTTTGAGGATCCATATCGCTTCACTGGACTTCGTACGTATTTGGAGTCATCTGCGTAGCAGTGCGGGGGAATAAGGTCTTGCGAAACGTTGTTGAGATGTAGTCGATCACGACAAGTCCTTGTATCGCTTGATTGATCTGGTTGTATATGCAGCTTTCTATCAGTTCTCGACCAGAATTAGACAAGTTCGTTAGATGCGGCTTAATTAACGGGTCTTCACGGATCTTTGACTAGTGTTTTGTATATACGCATGTTGCCCACTTCTGATTCTGTAACGAGCCGATCTAAGTTTTTCAGATACTGTGCCATGGCTCCAGGTAATTTTGGTCAAATTGATGTGTGTTAAATTAGTGTGCTTGTTAGAAGTACTTAAGGAGATTTGTCGATGATTGTCACCTGCTGCCGGTTATAAGAATCACGTGTTCTCTCTTAGACATTTAACGCTAGCAAAATATGCGATCCGATTACTTCCAAACAGGAGGGCTTTGCTAGCTTAACCGTTTAATCTTTGTGCATCTGCAGAAGTCCATATAGACTTGTTGTAGTCGCCCATTTATTCACCAATTCCTATCGAGTGTCGCAAAGATACCATACCCAGTGCAGAGATCGGCGTTGAGGTAATTTGGGAGAACAGGTGCATAGATATGAGTAAATAGTTTATGGAAACCGGAGCGGATTTTAGGAGTGGATCAAACAGGGAATCGTTTAATAATTTTGTAAATTGGATTTCATTAGAAATTGCTCTATCTAACATCGAGCTGGCCTCATCTAGATACAGAAAATTAAATTGTCCGTTTAGGCGTCCTTGTCGCGTTAATATGTAACCTTGTTTTTCATCACCTATTTATGTCAAAGCCTTTTGGGAGGTTTCTCTTTTCTGATCGTAATGTTAAGTTCAGAGCTTGCTCTTGGATAAGCATCATCATCATCATCACCATCATCATCATCTAGACGCGTGATACGCATGCTCCTTGCCTTTAGATACGTAGCTTAATTGAACGTGTGATGTGCTTTTTATGACCCAGGCGAGGTATTCCTTACTTTTACAGCTTAGCTTCCTTTTACTCAGGACCTCTAGTTGTTGTCTCCAGAGCACATCTTAGTAAACTAACTTGAAAGCTTTCCCACTTTTTCTAAATGATCCCAGTCACCATACGCTTGTGTAAAAATTACCTATTCGCTTAACTTACTCTAAATTATCGAG